TCAGATTGATGGACACATCCCAGGGTTATCATCAGATCCCTCTGGCTCGTGAGGATTGGAAAAGGGTCAGCTTTGTAACAAGCCGTGGAACATACGGCTATGTGGTGATGCCTTTCGGGCTAAAGAATGCGGGGGAGACATATCAGAAGTTGGTGGATAAAATCTTTAAAGAGCAGTTGGGAAGGAACATGGAGGTATATGTGGATGATATGCTGGTAAAGAGCAAAGAGGAAATTGACCATGTGAACGACTTAAAAGAAACATTCATGACCCTCCGGAAGTATGGGATGAAGCTGAAACCCGCTAAGTGCTCGTTCGGGGTCAAATCTGGAAAATTTTTGGGCTACATGGTCACGAGGAGAGGGATCGAGGTCAACCCAGAGAAAGTGAGGGCGGTGATCGAGATGCGGCCCCCCACGAAGGTGAAGGAGGTGCAGATCTTAACTGGTCGAATAGCAGGCCTGAGCCGTTTTATTTCTAAGGTAGCCGAGAAAAGCGGGCCCCTATTTAAGACACTCAGGAAGAGCTCGAAATTTCAGTGGACAGAAGAAGCATAGAAAGCATTCGAGGAGTTGAAGAGGATGTTGGTCGATCTACCGCTATTGGCAAAACCGGCGCAAGGGGAGGACTTGGTGTTATATGTATCCATCGGTGAGACGGAAGTAAGCTCTGTGTTATTGCAGGAGGAAGGGACATCCCAATTTCCTATCTATTACGTGAGTAAGGTGATGCAAGGGGCGGAAAGGAGGTACTCAGAGATTGAGAAAGGGGCCTTGGCAGTGGTGGTCACTGTAAGGAAGCTGAGACCATATTTCTTGGGACATAGGGTGAAGGTCCGAACGAACATGCCGTTGGGAGAAACACTGGGTCGACCCTTCGTGTCGGGGCGGTTAGTCAAATGGGCGGTCAAGCTGAGTGAATACACAATTATCTACGAGCCAAGGAGAGCGATTAAGGCTCAAGCGCTGGTTGACTTTATTCAAGAAGGGACGAAGGGGAGCGAGGATTCTAAAGGGGTGTGGCAAGTGTTGGCAGATAGATCGGTGTCGAGGGCTGGAGGTGGCCTAGGCATCGTACTGATGTCGCCAAAAGGTGACAGCCTGGAGTTCGCAATTAAGGTGGCCTACCAGATATCAAACAATGAAGCGGAATACGAAGCGGTCATTAAGGGACTCAAACTGGCCTTAAGTGGCGGGGCTCGAGCAGTGCAGGTGCATTCAGACTCACAATTGGTGGTGGGCCAATTCCAGGAAGGGTTCGAGGTCCGGGAGGAGAGGATGATGAAATATGTGGAGGAGATAAAGAAGCTGCAGGGAGAGTTTGATTCCTTCGAATTAATCCAAATACTTCGAGGAGAAAATGGTCGAGCGGATCTGTTGGCGAAAATGGCACAAAGTCTGGTGGACTGCAAGAGCAGAAGTGTGACCTTGCTGTACATGGAGAAGAGTGTGGTCGAGAAGGAGGTGGTCGAGATAGAAGAAGTTGAGGATTGGAGGGCGCCGATAATAAAAGAATTGAAGGGCGGGGCTGTTAAAGTGATAAGAAGATTCTTCGAGCATGGAGGGATCCTCTACAAAAGGTCGCACGTGGGCCCCCACTTGCGATGTGTTGCCGGAGAAGAGGGGCGATATGTGTTGAAGGAGATTCATGAGGGCTGCTGCAGTGACCACAGCAAGGCGGGTTCCTTGGTAGCAAAGGCTCTAAGAGCAAGATATTTCTGGCCAACGATGAGAGAAGATGCCAAGGAGATGGTGCGGAAGTGTTTGCAATGCCAGAAGCACGGCCCACTTATTCACCAGCCGGCCGAAGCCATGACAGCAATGAGTTCTCCCATCCCATTCGCCCAATGGGGGATCGACCTGGTTGGGCCCATGCCCCAAGGAACCGGACAGAGGAAGTTCTTGATTGTCGCGGTCGATTATTTCACGAAGTGGGTGGAGGCTGAACCCCTGGCAAAGATCACAGAGGAGAAAGTGATACATTTTCTATATGATAACATATGTTGCAGGTTCGGAGTTCCTAAAGTGTTGGTGTCGGACAATGGGACACAGTTCAATGGCAAGAGGATTCGGGCATGGTGCGAGGACATAAAAATTGATCAACATTTCGCTTCAGTCGCACACCCGCAGGCCAACGGGCAGGTCGAAGTGACCAACAGAATTATATTGAATGGTCTGAAAACAAGGTTGGAGAAAGCTTCGGGAGCATGGGTGGACGAACTTACTTCGGTGCTATGGGCGTACAGAACAACTCCCCGATCGACCACTGGGGAGACACCTTTTAGTATGGTATATGGCATGGAGGCCTTGTTGCCGATAGAGGTTGAGGTTCAGTCCCAAAGATCGAGCACATATGATCGAGAACAGAATGAACAGCTAATGATGGCAGCGCTCGACACAATCGAAGAACTTCGAGGAAAGGCAACAATCAGAGTCGAGGCGTACAAACAAAGGATGCGAGCAGTGCATGATAGAAAAGTGAAAACACGGAGATTCCAAGTGGGTGACTTGGTGTGGAAGAGAGTCGATGTGCTGAAACATGTTGGGAAATTAGAGCCAAACTGGGAAGGACCATACCTGGTTGAAAAGGTCCATGCTGGAGGGGCATACTCTTTAAAGGATGCTGAAGGAAGATCCCTAGTCAGGTCATGGAATGTGGCTAACTTAAAGAAATATTATGCTTAAATTTTTTTCTTTTTTTTTTACTTATTACCACCGATGTAATGAAATGCTTTGCTCGATGATGAATGAAATGGCATATTGAAGTCTCTACAAGTTATTATTTACCAAATTAACCTTATATGGTTGGAATCCTGGGATTAAGCCTGATGACAGGCTGTATGTAAAAAAATCCATCATGATTAAGGCCATGAGGCTGGATGGTCGTATGTAACGACCACCTCTTTGAAGGTGGGCGTGCGTTCAAGGAAAAATCCATCATAACTAAGGCCATGAGGCTGGATGGTCGTATGTAACGACCACCTCTTTGAAGGTGGGCATGCGTTCAAGGAAAAATCCATCATGATTAAGGCCATGAGGCTAGATGGTCCCATGTAACGACCACCTCTTTGAAGGCTGGAGTGAGGCTCGGGAGATTTGTTCGTGGTTTTGGAAGAAGCAGAGTCTCTGGGAGGGGGAGCTCGATGATCGATTTTCTGACGGCTGTCAATCTTTTGGCGGTCGTCAGTTCTCTGTGAGCGATCGCCGACCTGGGGTTAACGATCAGTGGTCTTTTGGTGGTCGCCAGATTTGTGTTGACGGTCGGCAACCTTCTAACAATCATCGACCTTGGAAGAGGTCGAAGACTTGGTGGCTGAAGAAGAAATGGTTTTTTGTTGAGGGTTCTGGGAAGTTGGCCCTGGCTGCTTCGGCGGCTGAGTTTGTAGTGGACGTTGTTGTTGCTGTTGTTGCGGCTGTGGGGGCTGCTTCTCAGGTCGCTGTTGTGTCTCCTTGGGCGGTGGTGGAGGAGGCGGCGTAGTCTGCCGCGGGGGTGATTGCTGTGGCGGCTCTGGTCGAGACCCACCAGAGCTAACCGACCTATCGGCCTTGTCACCGCTCGACCCAGCGACAGCCCCCGATTTCTTTTTCAGAGGAGTTTTCCTCAGAGGGATGTTGAAACTGGGCACCTCTGCGAAAAAATCACAATATAGATCATATCCGAGATCAGTAACAATCACTCGGAATAAAAATGAGAAAACACACGAACATTCAGCTAATCTGCTCGATTACTACCTGGATCATCCTCAAGTCGAATGAGATCGATGATCTCGTTGGTGGGAGGAGGACAAGTCTTGTGGGTGAGGAGACCACAATGGTGGAGAAGGTTCTCGTCTCTGAGGAGCTTTTCTGACGCAACGGTCTTAGAATTCCAAGTATGGACCCGTTGCTCGAAAAGGGGGTTAGAAGGAGGGGCAGAAACTTCCTGAGGAACCTCCTTGACCCAAGGGATGGAAGGCCAGGGGAACGGTACATCAGGTTGAACGGAAATAAACCTGTCAATCCACTTGGGCAGGTTGGAGGGAACATCGTTGATGAAGTGAGCGCCATTGCGACTCTTTAGGTAGAGCCCTCGGGCTTGTTTGGAAGGGACGTAACAGTAGTGGAAGAAGGCGAGGTCGAATCGACCAAGACGGATATGGCAGAGGATAATGAAAGTAACCATGAAACGGATGGCATTGGGAGGAAGTTGATGTAAAGGGAGCCCAAACCACTCACAAATCTGAAGCAGCTCGGGATTCAGGGGAAAACGCAAACCAAGTTTAAATTAGATTTCGAAGAAAGTATAGAAATTTTCTGGTGGGTGGTCGTACGTGTCAGATTGAGCTGGGATATAGAAGGTCCAGCCAATAGGTCGACCAATGGTTGAGGGGCTTACCCA